GGCGGGTAAGAGGCGCCATAACCTCTCCCCCCAGCTGCCTTGCAGGGTAAGTCTTTTTAGACAAAGGCTATTGGAGTCAAACCATATACAAACCGGCGGAAGGCAAGGGGAAACCACCGCTGTACTATCCCAAGAAAATCATGCCTCAAAATAATACCTATTCAGATAACGACGTGAATGGGGATTCCGGTGGAATCACCTCGTCCGGTAGGGGGCATCATGTTCTACGGGTGATACCCGACCGTCATCCAGCTACTGTAGAAAAAGTAAATGGTAGAAACATCATGAACATTGGTACATGGAATGTCAGAACACTCGTACAAAACGGAAAACTGGATAACATCAAGATGGAAATGAAGAGAATGAACACCAACATACTAGGAATTAGTGAAATGCGATGGCCAGGAGCAGGGGAAAAGTATTCAGATCAGCACAGAATTATCTACTCGGGTGGGAAGGAATATAGTAAGGGAGTTGGTACTATTTTGGATCCAAAGAATTCAAAAACTGTTAAAGGATTTTGGACAATATCAGATAGAGTACTATTAGTAAAACTTCGCGGCAAACCGTTTGACATCAACTTAGTACAGATTTATGCCCCAACAGCAGATAGTTCAGAGGAAGACATTGACGCATTTTATGATGAGTTAGACATGGCTGTTGATTAATGCAAAGATGTGAAGTAACAATGGTACTTGGAGATTTCAACGTAAAAGTAGGAAGTGAAAAAGTGTACGGAATAACGGGTGGCTATGGACTAGGAGAAACGAATGTGAGAGGTGACAGATTAATAGCATGGGCTGAGTCGCGCAGCATGATAAAAGGTAACACCTGGTTTAAACACCATCCTCGAAGATTGTGGACTTGGAAAAGTCCTGGTGATGATGTCCGCAATCAGATTGATTATATTTTGATTTCAAGAAGATTCCAGAGCAGCTTAGTTGGAGCAAAAACTAGACCAGGGGCAGACTGCTTTAGTGACCATGTTCCAGTTGTAGGAAAAATTAGAATAAAACTAAATAACATTAGAAAAACACCACAGAACATCAAGTTAAATTTAGGAATTCTTAGAACGGATAAAGAAATTAAGGAACAGTACAACGTCACTGTACAAAACCGGTATAATGCAATGGAAATTATACAGACTATTGATGAACAGTGGGATATGTTGCGTGAGTCAATTTAGCAGACATCAAAAGAGACAATCCCACCAACCCATACAGTTGCAAAAAAGAAATGGATGTCAACCGAAATTCTGCAGTTGATGGATGAAGGAAGAAAAAGAATGATAAAGAAGAATACTATAGAATACAAAAAGAAATAGTGAACAAATGCAAAGCGGCTAAAGAAGCCTGGCTGAATCAAATGTGTACGGAGATTGGGGAAAATCACGGGAAAGACTCACATTCCATGTACCAACAGATAAATATGTTAACAGGAAAGATGACATGTAACAGCACTGGATGTTTTAAATCAAAGGATGGTGACTTATTAATGGGACATAGTAATATAATTAACAGATGAACAGAGTAAATAGGGGAATTGTATGATGATAATAGACCAGACGTAGAACTGCAGACCAACAATGATGGTCCACCAATAATGACTGCAGAAGTTGAGGATGCAATACATCATATGAAGAAAGGAAAAGCACCCCGGCCAGACAACATCTCACTGGAAGAAATTGAAGCACTGGGAAATTTTTGAATTGAAATAATAACTAAACTTTTAAATGATATTTATAACAGTGGGTATATTCCAAATGACCATTTAAAATACATATTTATAGCTCTGCCGAAGAAACCAGGCACTTTAAAATGTGAAGACCATCGCACAATAAGTCTTATGAGTCACATGACTAAGATTTTACTGAGAATAATTATGAGAAGGATAAGAAACAAAATTAAACCAGAAGTCAGCGATGAACAATGTGGATTTGTAGAAGGAAAAGGTACAAACAATGCCATATACATCCTAAGGACATTGTCAGAAAGAGCTATAGAAGTAATGACTGATTTGTACTTATGCTTCATAGACTATACAAAAGCATTTGACTGTGTGAAGCATGAAGAAGTAATCAAACTGTTAGAAAAATTAAACATTGATAGGAAAGATCTAAGAATAATAAAGAATATGTATTGGCAGCAAACAGCAGCTATAAGAATTAACAACTGTTTAGGTACATTTCAAAGCATAAAGAGGGGCGTACGACAAGGATGTGTACTTTCACCTAATTTGTTTTCAATATACAGTGAATATATAATGAGATCTTTAATTGGTATGCCCGGAATCGTGGTTGGTGGGCACAATATAAACAATTTACGTTATGATGATGACACAGTCTTGATAGCAACAAGTCAGAAAGAATTACAGGAAATGATAGACATTGTGGTGTTAGAAAGTGGAAGAATGGGCCTCAGTTTGAATAATGGGAAGACAGAAGTAATGGTGGTATCAAAGAAACAAATTATTCCTAAATGTGTAATAAAAGTCAATGGTG